GCATGGAGATAATAGCAATACCCGTCTTGTAGAGTTGCTGTAAAAATTAAATGAGATCATGAATGCAGAAGTGGGTAACACAGTAGCTGGTGCTTAGTAAGCCCTTGGTGAACGGCAGCTGTTGATTGTGAGATGGTGCAGGGGGGCAGGAGGGGGTGAGAGAAGGAGAGTATCTGGACTGCAGAAGGAGAAGGTGGTCTGTGCACTACTGGGACCGTCAAGGAGGAGGGAGGGGAGAGAGCAGTCGTGGACAGAGCCCACGAGTGTTGCTGTGGCCGCTCCATCTGGCCAAAGAACCGGAGAAATCCAGAGGGGCCCTTTCTCCTCCAGGTGGGGCTTGGTGGGTGGGGGGAGGGTGGGGAGAAGCCGCAGATGAGACACCCCTGGGAGAGCCAGAGCCCATCTCCCCCCTTACCAGGTGTTCCAGGCCCCCTCTCCCCTCTAACATGTAATAAGGAGATAATGCTATTTCTTATTCTTTATTTGCCCAGAATGCCTGTTATTTTCTTTCTTTCAGAATCCAATTTTCTCTTGACATTTATGCCTAATGTAGCAAAACATGACCTTTGTGAAAGGACATTGCTGGCAACCCGCTCCCTGCCTCGGGCCCCCCAAGAACTACTGGCACACTCCTGGGCTGCCTCTCCCTCGGAGGTGGGCAAGGCTTCCATTTCCCCGGGACCGCTTCTGTGTTCCCGCCTCCTCCTTCCGGCCGGGGGCGGAGCCGGGGACGGGGCGTGTTTCCCAGGGCTCAGTGCGTCTGGTGTTCCCGGCGCTCTCACAGGAGCTGCTGCTCAGTTTTAGAACCAGGGGCGTTGTTCCAGGCTGCGCTGGAGTCGGGCAGAGAGCTCAGGGCCCCCGGGCCTTGTCTAACTTCTGCTGCCCCTGATGCTGTTGTGCGTAGACAGTAAACCAAGAAAAGCAAAACAAAACAGAAGACTTCTGTCTGGGTGAGGCACTCACCTTTATTGAAACATCATAGCGGCTCATGGTAATGGAGAATTACCATGAACAGGTAATGAAGCCTGTTATCCTTGACCCCGAGTTCCAGCTCCTGGTGTAAGGTCAGCGCCTTTGATGAGCGTACGTGTCTGATCCCCTGTTCCTCCCTTCCCATCAGGAGTTGCTCTGCAGGGAGCTGGGTGCCTGGGTGTCCTCAAGTGGCCATCATGCAGTTCTTCTGTCACCCTTTTCCTTCCTGTCAGTGGGGGAAGGAGACCGTTTGTAGGAATAAGATGCGCCATGGTTAGGGGTTTTGTGAAGCTGAGCATGTGGATGGGTTGAGGTTTATAGTCTTTTAGTGAGAGCCTGTGTTGTCACACACACCAGTGCTTTACAGTCCTGCAGAGAGGAAGTGGGTGACAGTATGGGGCTATGGGAGGCTCTCCTAGCAAGGGCTATGAGCTTAAGGACTCTGAAAGGAGAGAGTGCTGGGGACTGGGGAGAGAGTGGGACAGTAAACTTGGGTGATACCTACTGGACACCTTCCCTTCGCCCCAGTCCCCTGCACCCCAAGAATGGGGTCTTCCTCCCCCACACAGTCATGGGCTGTCACCCATGAATATGTGTATAAGCAGGAGTCTGTGTTTGCATTTATTACCTACATGTTTAATGGACATAAATACACACGTGCTTATACACACGTGTGTGCATGTGGATAGGTATTTACCTAAGTGCAATTCTTACCGCTCTCCTTTCTCATCACTAGATAAGTACGTGGTTCCTGGGGTGCCACTTGAGCTCTAGCTGTCTCCAGCTGCTGCCTTGAAGGGCTGTTACCACATCAAAAGTTGTTTGTTGAGGGGCTTCCCTGGTGGCGCAGTGGTTGAGAGTCCACCTGCCGATGCAGGGGACACGGGTTCGTGCCCCGGTCTGGGAAGATCCCACATGCTGCGGAGCGGCTGGGCCCGTGAGCCATGGCCGCTGAGCCTGCGCTTCTGGAGCCTGTGCTCCGCAATGGGAAAGGCCACAACAGTGAGAGGCCGGCGTACTGCAAAAAAAAAAAAAAAAAAAGATGTTTGTTGAGCCTGGCAAAGGCAGAGCTGCCTCAAATGGGAAGGGGAAGCCCTATCCCATAGCTTGTCCTTGTGTTTGAATATCTGCTCCTCTGAAGAGCTGTGTCTACTGTCTGTACCTCACCCAGCCTGAACTTCTCCCCTGAGCTCCAGACCCAGGCATCCAACAAGCTATCTTATCTCTCTTCTTTGGATGTCTAACAGGCATCTCAAACTTAGTGTCTGCAAGGGGGAGGCTCTTGATCCCCACGCTGCTCCCCAGTTGGGACCCCTTTGAGCCTTCCTCGGCTCACTAAATGACATCACCACTCTCCTGGTTGCTCAAGTCTCCCTCCTCTGCCCGATCCAATCCCATAGGAAGTTCTGGCAGCTCTCCCTCCACCACCTAGCTTGAATTCCATCAGCTTAATTGTCTCTACTCTCTCTTTTTGCCTGGAATACTGCAGCAGCTCCTAATTGCTCTGATGACTTACAGTCTTGGGTTCCTATTTTAAAAAATGGTAATTAGATGATGCCACGTCCCTACTTAAACCCAGCCAGTGCCATCCCGTTGTTCCTTAAAGTAAAATCCGTGTGGCTTACCTTGACCAGCAAGGTGGGTGTGGCGGGTCCCCTCTCCTGCTTATCCTAGACCACTCTTCTACTTCCTTCCTCACTGGGCCCTTTTCTGGCCCCCTAGTCCCTCTCAGGCCTTTGCACTTGCTGCTCCCACTGCCTGGAACACACCTTCCCTGGCACTAGGCTCATTCTCACTCCTCTTCTCAGCTCCGACATCTCCTTCTCAGACGGCATTTCTGGAAGCATCTTCTGACGTAGCCCCGTCTCTCTCCGACATCAGTTACTTACCCCACTTTGCTTATTCCCTTCCTTCTGCTCATCACAAACTACACTTCTCTTGCTTATTCATTTGTAACATGAACATAAGCTCCAGAGGGACCTTATCTGTCATCCACCCCCTCGTTCCTTAGTGTAGCCTATATTTGGCTCTCAACAAATATCTGTTATAGAAGTCCTCTAAATATAGGTGCACCTGTAAGCATATGCATATGTGTATAAGCAGGAGTCTGTGTTTGCATTTATTACCTACATGTTTAATGGACATAAATACACACGTGCTTATACACACGTGTGTGCATGTGAATAGGTATTTACCTAAGTGCAATTCTTACCGCTCTCCTTTCTCATCACTAGATAAGTACATGGTTCCTGGGTGCCACTTCAGCTGTAGCCGTCTCCAACCACTGCCTTGAAGGGCTGTTACCACATCAAAAGTTGTTTGTTGAGGGGCTTCCCTGGTGGCGCAGTGGTTGAGAGTCCGCCTGCCGATGCAGGGGACATGGGTTCGTGCCCCGGTCTGGGAAGATCCCACATGCCGCGGAGCGGCTAGGCCTGTGAGCCATGGCCGCTGAGCCTGCGCTTCCGGAGTCTGTGCTCCTCAATGGGAGAGGCCACAACAGTGAGAGGCCCGCGTACCGCAAAAAAAAAAAAAAAAAGTTGTTTGTTGAGCCTGGCAAAGTAATAACCGTGGGTGTGTTTCTTCTTTTATTCAGAAGACTAATGACTACTCCTTTCCCCTGTACATCCTAATGAAAAAAAAAAAAAGCCATTAGGAGGAGGACAGAAGTGTGAACAAAAAAGCTGATGTCTTGATTATTGATGGACAGGATTGCTGAGGGAGGGACTGGCTTGAAGGAATTGTAGGTGACCTGCGGAGTATTTTCGACTTGTGTGAACGTTACGAATGTTTGCTGAGGGCTTCCGTGGTGGCTCAGTGGTTAAGAACCCGCCTGCCAATGCAGGGGACATGGGTTTGAGCCCTGGTCTGGGAAGATCCCACATGCTGCAGAGCAACAAAGCCCGTGAGCCACAACTACTGAGCCCGCACGCCTAGAGCCCATGCTCCGCAACAAGAGAAGCCACCACAATGAGAAGCCCATGCACTGCAATGAAGAGTAGCCCCTGATCGCCACTACTACAGAAAGCCCACGCGCAGCAATGAAGACCCGACGCAGCCAAAAATAAATAAATAAATCTATTAAAAAAAAGGAATGTTTGTTGGTAACAGGGCACAATAGTTTCACTTATGCAAGGTGAAGAAATCCTAGATATCTCTAGTACAGAGTAGTGCATAGTTAACAATACTGTATTGTACACTTAAAAATTTGGGAAGAGGGTACGTCTTCCATTAAATATTATTATCACTAAAAAAAAAAATAGAGAGGGAAGAAACTTTTAGAGATGCCAGTTAAGTTTATGGCACTGTTTATGGCGATCATTTCATGGATGTATATTATCTTCAAACTCATCAAGACATATACATTAAATATGTACAGCTTTTTTGGTAAGTCAGTTATACCTCAGTAACTAAAAAAAAGGGGAGGGATAAATTAAGAGCTTGGGGTTAGCAGATACAAACTACTATATATAAAACAGATAAGCAACAAGGTCCTACTGTATAGCACAGGGAACTATATTCAGTATCCTATAATAAACCATAATGGAGAAGAATGTGAAAAAGAATATATATATATATATATATATATATATATATATGTATGTATAACTGAATCACTTTGCTGTACGGCAGAAATTAACACAACATTGTAAAACAACTCTACTTAAATAAAAAAAAAAGAATGCTTGCTGGTTTGTATACCTTATACTCTGAGAGTTCTCTGTCCTCCTGTAGAAGGGTGGGTTTAAAAAGGCTCTCTGAAATTTCATTGTGGTGAGAGCATATGGGAGAATGACCAAGAAGTTTTTATTTATTTCATTTGATTTGTAAAACCTTGCCTTTTAAAAGGTCTCAGCATCCTCTCCAGACATGATCTGTAGCCTCGACTAACTGTCAGATATACTGTTAGCCGAAGGGAGCAGTGGAGAAGAACAACAAAGCCAGGCTCCCATGAGATGACCACACTTACTACGGAGAGCATGACATGCCACATTGTCCTTTAATTTCCTCTTTATTTGTCAATCTTGCAGAAACCTGTCGAGTAACCGGCTCACCACACTCTCATGGCAGCTCTTCCAGACGCTGAGTCTTCGGGAATTGTAAGTTCAGTTTTGAAGACTGTCCAAGTTGGTGGAGTGGTGGTCAAAGGTTGGGTGGAGCCACCTGAAGCTGGGAGTACACCTGAAGGGGCTCCTTGGGTTGGATGGTGTGGGTGTACCATGTTCAGTGAGAGTGAGCCACCCCATCCCTTGATTTCTGATGCTCCTTCTGGGCGCAATACATTTCAGAAGATAGGAATCTCATCTCTTAGCAGGACCTAGTTTTGTGATCTGTTGGTAGTTAGTAATAACATTTATATTTATATATATTTATAATAATAAAGATAATTTATCAAGTTATAATAACATTTGCAATATATAAATAGATTATTAGGTGTGCTTTCATTTACATGACCTTTGATTTATCATCACATGTCATGGGAGGTAGGTATTATCATACCTCCTGTATAAAAGGTATCTCTACACTTTCAGGTGAGGGTTCTGAGCTCCAGAAAGGCATGTGAAACACAACCAAGATCACATTGCTAGGGATTGGCAGAACCGGGACTTGAACCCAGGCCTTTGACTTCAGATTGCATGTATTTTCCACTTCTCGTGATCTTCTGTCAGCCTATTTGGCTTGAGTATGGGCATCCTGGAGGGACTAAGCCCATATATTTATTCAGTCTGCTTGTGGACTGCTTAGATTTGCTGCATTCCGAGGCTGACCAGTGTACTCCCACCCCAGCCAGCCATTTTGCACAAACACACATTGGATGGATGAATGAAAACTTGTGACCCCTGCTGGAAAAAATAAGTCATGTTGATGTGTGAGTCATCAGGGTCATCTCTGTGCATGAAGGACGGCATATTATGTTGAGGGGACAAGTCAAGGAATAAGTTGAAAAGGAATTGAGGCATGGATGGAGTTAGGGAGTCAGGGTTCCAGAGACACTGCTCATGTGTCTTCCCTTTTACTTGATGACTCAGATCCAAATTCACTGAATGCAGATTGCTTTCTATCCTTTACCAAGAGGCAGTGAATGGCCTTGGATCCCCGCCCATGCTGTTGGCCTTTCAACTTGTTCTCCCTCCACCTGGTAAGACCTGAGTTCAAGGATGCGTCATAACCTTACCTTTTCTGACCCAGTTGATCAGGAAAGGGAATATTTACATCTCCATGACAGTCTTGTACATACCCTACTCATCCTTATGGACCCAAGTGCCTACATGATGCTTAAAAATGCCATTCCAGGGATGGGAAGTACAGAGATGGTCTCTGACAGTGTTGGAGAGTTTAGGACAAGACTGTTGTGGGTTGCTTTCCTGCTTTAGGATTTTGCCCCTCCCACCAGGCTTCTCCTCTGCTATGAGCACAATAGCTCTGGTGATCAGAGTTCTTTAGTCATACATGGCTGCCACCCAGCTGTACTCAAATAAAAACTCCTACCTGAGCTTGGGAAAAGGTGCATATGTACTTATTTTTTTATAAAACACTGGAAAACTGGACAATGTCACAGACATCTCAGTGTCAGACTGTCAAACTTGATGCATTGTGTTCATTCCCTTCTTTGTAGGTGGAAAAGACGTTAGAGGTAAATTAACATGACTGCTTTGATCACCACTAACACTGATTTCTGAGATCTTACTCTGGGCCAGGCAGTGTGCCAAGTAATCTATCAAGTTACGAAAGTTATTTAATCCTTATAACAATGCTATCAAGTCGGAATGGCTACTGTCACTTCAAATTTGGGGACACTGGGATACTTAGCAAGGTTTAGTATCTTGGTTAAGGTCACCCATTAACTAAATGGTAGCAGGTGGACTCAAGATCTTGACCACTATGCTTCGCCATCTGCCAACTTTCTCAATCTGTTTTCAATCCAACGATCTGTTCTACAGTAACTTGAAATAAAAATGCACAATTGCAGATTTTCCTTACATTGCTCTAAAACTGACCAGGAACCCTGCCCTAAAGGAGCTAATTGGAGTCTTTCATCCAGTTCTCCTGGGACCCCTGCCCCTTCATCTGTGGGAGGCCAGGGATAGCATCTCTCCAGGGGACATCTGGGTCTACTGTTGGCTGAATTATTGTGAAAATGTTCAGTGCTCCTTCTAAAAAAATCATTGGCTGCGAAATCGATGGCGTGCTGCCCCGGTGACCTGTTTCGTGGAGTTTTAGAAACAGTTGTTCCGTGGATATATATTTAAAGAAAATGTCAGATTTCTCCCAGAGGATCATGGGATTCTGCATTCATCTTTGCCTGTGAATCAATACACCAGTGAGCTGGATGTGACTTATGGGGGAATGAAGACGTTCCCTCCAGGGTGAGTCAGTGTGTGAGAGCCACCATGTCCACGGAGTATTTTATTTCTGTCATATTGTTAAATAAGTAAAAAAAATATGTTGGAAAATAAAGAAGCCCCCCCTCTAAGGAGCAGTCACCCTGGTAGGGGTCTATTTTTTTGAGGAAGAATTGAATGTTGAGAGTGGAAAATTTATCTTTTGGCTGGAGGGGCCGCGTGTTGGCTCTTAGCTGTGGCTGTGATTAAAATCCAAACAGTCCCAGTTCCTGGCAAATGGAAGAGTGGGTCATATTTTCTTGTCTGACTTCCTGGTTCATCCACGTGATGCCATCTGCCATGAGCCATCTAGACTGCCAGGGTCTGCCCAGGGGAGCCTGTGGGCTGGGCTGTGGGCGTGGGTCGGGTATTTCCAGGAAGAAAGAATTTTGGCCCTAGAGGAGAGAGGCCAGAGGGAGATGGCTCTGTGAGCTGTGGCAGCCAGAAGAACACAAGGGCAGAAGTGTGAGGCTTCGAGCGACCTTCTGCAGGAACAGAAGGAGCAAGCTAGGGCATTCAACAATTTCTTAGCATGTTTTATTCCATCACTGAGGATCTCTGCCTGCCCCAAGCAGCCCCTCCTCTGATCCTTGATAGAAGAACTAATGCTGTTGGGATTCCCCCTCAGAAGGGCTGAGTGTCTACAACTTTTCCAGTAGCAGAGAAGGAGAAAAAAGAGGTGTATATTGAGCATCTAATATATACGAGGTCCTGTCTCACCCCTGGAACAATCCCACAGAGGAGGTATGCTTAAACCCAGTTTGACAAATGAGGGATTGGAGGCTTGGCCAAGTGAAATAACTGGTCCAACGTCACGTGGCAAGTAAATGGGAGTTAGTATTGTGATTATTAGCATTGCCACCATCCAGGTCTATTGTTTTCAAAAACCAGCTCTTTCCTTACCCAACTCAGCACCATAGCCCTCATGCTATGCGTCCCCTTCCGCCAGAACTCAAGATGGCGGGTCCCCTCAGAGGAATCAAAGGGGGAAAAAATCCAAACAAGTTAGCATCTCAGAGCCCTTACCATGTGCCAGAGACTTCCTTCACTCATTTCTCATTTACTTTTGTGAGATGAAGGGTGTGGTCTTGGCCGGGCACCTGGCCCGCCTCTCAACTGTCCAGGCTGTGTTTTTCTCTTACTGTTGGAACCAGAAGCATATTTCAAGACTGGCTTCTGAGTAGCCAGCACTCTTTCAATGGCACGGGTTTGGAGAAATTTGAGTTGGTGTTGCAAAGTGCTCTCCGAAGTTTCTGTTTATGGCAAGATGGTATTTTCACTTTACCGAGAATATGGGAACAGTCTGTCCAGAAAGCTGAGCAAGAATCAAAGAGATTGACTTAGAGGTAAAGAATGAGTTGGAAAGAAAAGAAGCTTGGATTCTGAATCCCATGATACCATTTAGGCAAAGGCAAGAGGCACCAAAGGATATAAACTCACAGCACAGAAACCCTCCAGAAATACCCTAAGGACCATTAGTGTATCTCGAACAGGCTTCTCTTAATACCCTGCATGCATGGAGCAGACATGATTAAAATAGATTGGAATATTTCATTTTCTTAAAGCAAAGTGATAATTACCTCTGGTATAATTTACAGATTTAATCGACTTCGTAAAATATTAACTCAATTTTGGGGATGGGTTTGTGCTGATCCTGTCACTTTCCTTCCCCCAGTCCTGGCCCTGACCACTTGCCACGGCTCTCAAAATCACTCAACAATCATGTTAATAATACTGTTATTATAATAATAATTTTGGGCCTCTTTATAGCCCCTTTTACTTCACAAAGCACGTTAACATATATTATCACTAATCCTCATAGTAACTGTGAAGAAGGCAGATTGAGCACAATTACCCCATTTTACAGACATTAAAACAGAGCCTTGGAGAATTCAGGCTGAATGAATACTTGCTGTATTCATTTCCTAGGGCTGCCTTAACATATTCCCACAAATCTGGGGGCTTCAAACAATAGAAAGTGATTCTCTCACTCTTCTGGAGGCCAGGAGTCCAAAATCAAGGTGTCAGGAGGACTACACACTCTTCCAAGGCTCTAGGGAGAATCCTTCCTTGCCTTTTCCAGCTTCTGGTGGCTCCTGGTGTTGCTTGGCTTGTGGCAGCACCACTCCAGTCTCTGCCTCCGTCTTCATGTGGCCATCTTCCTCTTTGTCTTTGATCTTTCCCTCTTTTCTCTCATATAGATACCAGTCACTGGATTTCGGGCCCACGGTAATCCAGAATGATCTCATCCATGATCCTTAACTTGGTTATATCTGCAAAGACTCTATTTCCAAATAAGGTCACATTCACAGCTACTGGGGCTTAGGACTTTGACAAATTTTGGGGGATGGGTGAGACACTATTCAATCTACTATAGTTGCCCAAGGTGACACAACTGGCTCAACTCAGGTCTTTTGTTTGGATATTTTTTTTAACCACAGGACTGTTGGCATCTCCAGGGTGCCCTTTGGGCATGTTTTCTTCTGTGACAGCAGATTCGGGCCCCCTCCCCATATTTCACTACCTGGCCATGGATTGCCACTGGCAGCACTGATGCTGCGGAGGGAAGAAAACCAGAGTGATGACTAGTGGGGAGTCAGTGTTTTTTAAACACTCAGTCTTGGCCTTGGCTGTTCAGCAAAGTGTCTTGTGCACAAACTCGGATGGGGCTGAGTTAATCTGTGGGAAGCCCCAAGGGCCCTACGATTAGGCCCTGGGCCATCTTGAGGAAAGGGCTGGGTGTTGGTAATCTTTGCTGTGAAGCAGCTGCTGTTGTATTATTCATGAGGCCGCCTGCATTATTGATGGAGCAGGGGAAGGCTTGGCTTAGGCTCCTTGTGTCTGCCCCTGAAGCCCTGGCTGAAGGCCCCTCTGCTCCAGACCTGATTTGATGCGAGAATGGACAGCATCATTTAGACCCAGGACTTGCCCTTCTTTGCTTCTGGTCCACCTCACTGTTTAACCCCTCTTGTCAGGATATGAAGACGATAGTGGATTTGCTCGGTGAGATGCCCAGGGCATCTGTTCTGAGACTGAAAATGCTTTCTGCCGTATGTATGTCTTGTTGTCCAGGAGGAGAGTCCAGAGGGATGGCGGGAAGAACGCAAAGTTCTTCTGCAGTTTCCAGGAGACCCTGGGTTGGAGGAAACGACCAGGTCGCATGGTGCATGCCTTCTGGAGGAAAAAGTCGGAGGGAAACAAACAAGCTTTTAGCGTGCCCATGCCTGGAAGGGTCTAAGACACACCCCACATATCTCACTGGATTCCCCTGCCAGCCTCAGGACGCTGTGGCACCGTCCACCTTTCTGGGGGACCCCTGAGATGTTGGGATACGCAGTAGTGCAGGGCTCAGACAAGAGGCAGAACTGAATAAAGCACATGTAGCTTGAAGCAGCCTGGCCAAGACTCTCACTTGTCTAGTATTTTCCACCCAGGTGGGTAATTTGTATTTTTACAGCTACTTAATAATGAATGACCACATCTTGTCAAGTAAGCAACTGGGAAAAATCAGGCTGACCTGGTTCAGTGTGCATGTGTTCCGGCATCTGGACCCTCAGTATCCTTCCAGCAGGGCTGCCAGGCCTCTCCTCACAGCCCCTACCGCGTGACTCCCAACCACTGTTCCACTCCCTTTCCCCAGAAACGCCGGACAGGGAGTTTGACCTCCTGTGTTTCCTAAGGAAGCCCTCAGACGTTCCCTTCCCCTGCTTCCTCCTTGTTGTGAGGGTCAGAGCTGGTGAGGCATGTAAGGCCTTCAGCGTAGTGCTGGGCACAGAGTAAATGCAATGCAAACGTTATTATCCAATTATTTTTTTGACTTCTCTCTCATTTTCTCCTGTCTACCTTTTCTCTCTCCTCTCCCTCATTTCTCAGCTGCAGAAGCATCTGCCTTGACCCCAGGGCAAACCCCTCCAAGGGTCCTGGACCTCATCCGTCACTTTGCTGCTCTAGGACCTTACCTTTCCCTCCCCACCCCCAGCCCTGCCCTGACCCGATTCCTAATATGTTTCCCCTCTTCCTCTCCACTGGTTTTTCTCTTCTGTTTTCAACCAAAGATACTTCTGTCTTCCATTGACTTCCTATTCCCTGGAGCTTAAAACCTTGGGGTCATCTTTTACTCTTTCCTTTTCTTCTACCTCCAAGGAAGCACCAAATACCACCGTGTCTTCCTTTATGATGTTTGGTCCATCTTCGCTTTCCTTCTCCCCAATTTTTACCTCTCTACTCCAGGCTCTTAGTAACTAGGCAGCCATTCTCTCATGGTGGTCCAGGGTCCCATGGGGATCCCCAAGACCCTTACAGGGAGACCAAGATGTTAAATCTATTTTCATAATAACCCTGAGACGTTACTTGCCTTTTTCATTCCCGTGGGCAGTGGAGTTTTCCAGAGGCCACGTGACATACGTTATCATTCCTCTGATGCTTGATGGAGTTTGTGCTAATGCGTTCTTGTGTTTTAAATTTTTCTCAGTTTTAATTTTTAATATGGTAAATCGTGATAGATATACTCCACCTAAAAGTTCTTTGAGACTCTCAGTCATCTTTAAGAGTGAAAAGGAGTGCTGAGACCAAAAAGTTGGAGAACATTGACCTGGAGCCTGCTAGCCTATATGGTACCTACATGTGAATGAGAAAATATGCCTCTTCTGGGTGGATAGAGCCCCATGCCAGGTACCGGGTCTGGTCAAGGGTATGCAGGCTGGATTTCATCCCCCATTCATCCCTTTGGCTGGGTGCATTGAGACATGCATGAACTTCAGCACTGTACACGGTGACCCTGTGTTTATCAGACATCCTAACCGGGGTCCCAGTCTCCGGCTGTCCTCCTCTCTGGTTGATCCTGTTCAACATTGCTGGATTACTCTTACAGTTTTGTTCACTTCATTCTCCAACTACAAGGGCCTCGGTGGTTCCCACTGCCTCTTGGATGCATTTCAAGCTTCCTGATGTGGCAGTGAATGTCCTCCACCATCTGGCTTCCACTTGCCCTTCCAGCTTTATTTCCAGGTGCTCCTGCTGTAGCACAAGCTTTCTTTCCTGTTTCCACAGTCCAGCCTGCATCATCCCTCTAACTCTTCCCCAGTCTTTCCCTCCACAAGCTTCCAAAGTTCAGGGATCCTGCTTACTCCTCCTAGAATCTCCCATCTAGCTACGCCTTACACGTGATAGATGGCGGGGAAAGTACGTGAATTTTGGAGTCCAACAGGCTAAGCTTTGAAGCCCTGCTTTGTCACATACCAGCCGAGGGACCTTGAGCACGTGACTTGACTCCTCCAAACGTAGGAGGGGGTCCCTCTTGTGCATGACGACGAGAGACTGGCTGGCTCTGAGTGCAGCTGTGAGAGGCAGATGCTTGATGAAGGTTAGTTCTTGTCTCCTTTGCTGAAAGAGTGTGGTGTGCAGAGCAAAGTCATGGGCACTTTTAGACTAAGAGGATATCATACAGGGGCGTTTGCACATTCTACCTGTGTTGTCCTGTTGGCTAGAAAGCACTGATTCCTCCCTTCCAAGGGCCTCACTTTTTTCTGAAAGCTGGTTAATGCTGATGTGTGCTTCACTACTTTGGAATTTGCCAGTTGTCAAAAATATCCTGGATCTTAGTGCAGTTACCCAAGTGGCCCTCCCTCTGGGCACCAATAGATTCATCCCCTTACTGGTCCAGAAAGAGAATCATGTTCCCCTGAGTGATCCTGGCATTCAGATTTATCAGGTGCCCTTGCCTTTAAGTGTTTTACATCAGCTTATGCCCTTCAATTGTCCCCCCAAGGAGATGACTCCCTCTAAGTCACAAGGAAAATGAATGGAGAAGGAAGGCCTTGAACTTGACTCTTCCTCTATCAGACAGTCTTCTTTACCAAGATGAGTGCTCCTGGAAAACAGGGACTGATTATTCATTTCTGTTTCAGCAGCACTCAGCCCACAGCCAGACATGGATGAGGTGCTTATTAAGGATTTTGTTGAATTTATGAAGGAATAAAGCTGGTCCCAAGATAGGCTTTGAGCAGATATTGGAAACAGCGAATCACCTTCTCCCCAGGGAGAATAGCTTCTTTCTTCCTTCCTCCCTCCTTCCCTCCCTCCCTCCCTCCCTTCCTTCCTTCCTCCCTCCTTTTATTCATTCAACGGGTATTTATATGCCAGGCTTAGTTATAGGTACTGGGGATATAGCAATGAACCTAATAGGCAATGTCTCTGACTTTGATGGAACTTAATTTTTATTTGGGGAGACAGATAATAAACAAGCAAGCAAATATTTATTTTTTAATTTTTAGATTTATTTTGTTTATCCGTTCTATATATACTAATTTGCATCTGCTAGCCCCAAACTTGCAAGCAAGCAAATAAATATGTAAAGTGATGCTGGGCAGTGACAAATACCAGAAAGAAGAAAATAGTCAGGCAAGGGACTGGGCAATGTGAGGGCAGGGGTTGGTGGTAACTTTCCTATAGAAGTGGTCAGAGAAGGCTATATGATTCCTTAATGAAGGGAGGGAGTTGATCTAGCAGATATGTTCTCAGTCCAAACTCTGTAGGCAGAAAGGACAACAAGTGCAAAGGCCCTGAGGCAGGAGCATGCAGGTCATCCTGGTAAACTTGACACACAGCAAGGTCAGAGTGGCTGAAGAAGAGGAGGAGAGGGTGAGGCAGGCAATGAAGTCAGAGAGGTGACAGAGGGTGGTATAGATCCCGTAGGCCTTTGACTCTGACTTTCAAAGAGTTGGGAGGCCAGTGGAGGGTTTTGAGAAGAGGAGCTTCCCAAGCCAATGTATTTTAAAGGTCTCTTTGGCAGGTAAGTTCAGTGGAGTGGATTTTTTTGGAATGAGTTTATTTGTTTAAAAACTAAATAAATTCATGGACTTCTATAAGTATTTTTTATTTCTTTGGAGACCTTGCTAAACCCTTATCTCCTTAGTCCCTGAGGAGCAGGTGGGGGCCCATGCATGGCCTCACAGCCCTGGGAGGGAGCTGGGCCACCTTCGGTTCAGGGGCTCCCTTCCCTCGCTTCTCGCCCACAGGAGGTTGGAGCAGAACTTCTTCAACTGCAGCTGTGACATCCGCTGGATGCAGCTGTGGCAGGAGCAGGGGGAGGCCAAGCTGAACAGCCAGAACCTCTACTGCATCAGTGCCGATGGCTCCCAGCTCCCACTTTTTCGCATGAACATCAGTCAGTGCGGTGAGTGAGCCGCCCGGTCCCAGCTGGCTCCACGCGGGCCTCCCTCAGACACCAGGGACGGTGCTGCGCATCAGCTGGGAAAGCCAGGGCCTTCCTTCCCCACTGCCCTCCCAGCCTTGAACTCTGCATTGGGTGCAGATCTGGCTCCCCTCTTACCTCCTTGCTCATTCTTGTCTCTTCATCAGCCAGCCGTGGGAAGGTTGGTTCCAGGGATGCAGAAAAGGGTTAAGTGTGCTCTTTGTCATTGGACCAGAGTCCTTTCTCTCTGTCAGTTCCCTGTTAAGCAAACCTGAAGGAGTGTTATGTCCAGGTGTGGTCTCTGGATCTCCTGTATCAGGAGCATCTAAGGCACTTTTAGAGAAGCAGATGTCTGGGTCCATCCACAGACTTAAGAGATCAGAATATCTGGAGATGAGTTTGGAAATCTGAATTTCTAGCAAGATCCCCATGGGAGTCTGAAGCGGACCAAAGTTTTGAGAACCAGTGCCCCAAGTGGAAGATGTCATTTGATGTCATTGTTAGAGCTGCATTCCTTCAGCAACTGTCCTCCTCACCAATCCCTGCTCCCCAACCACCACGTCCAACTGCATGGGCTTAAATCTTGAGTTCTACCATCTGCTTGGGAGGTGGTGTGAAGCTTCTGGGACTTGGGGGACTTCTGAGAGGTCACGCAGGTTTTGTGGAGTCATTATTGGACAAACCAAGCAGTGCCACCATTGCCCCCATGGACAAAATTTTGGTAGCAAGTATTTGCCTGTTTTTTCACCCACCCTGTCCTCCCTCCCAGACCTGCCTGAGATCAGTGTGAGCCATGCCAACCTGACCGTACGGGAGGGTGACAATGCTGTCATCACTTGCAATGGCTCTGGATCGCCCCTGCCCGACGTGGACTGGATAGTCACCGGACTGCAGTCCATCAACACCCACCAGGTAGGCGTCTGAAGCTTGGGACCTATCACCTCTTAGTCTTAATGAGCTAAAGTCATGAATAGAAGCAAGAGACGTGAGAATAAGGAAGAAGAGGAAGGGAAGTTTGTGGTCCTATTTCTATAGGAAGAAGCACATAGACATGGGTTCCACGCAGCTGCAACATTTTCTAGCCAACTTGATCTTGAACATGCTATAAACATCTCTGTACCTTACTTTCCTCATCTGTGAAATGGGTATAATGCTACCATTCATCTCATGGGATAAGTGTGAGTGTTACCTGAGCTCTTGACTGTAGAGAGCTTGGCCCTTGGTCAATGTGCCTTCACCAGCAAGGCCTCCTTCACCTACTGCTCAGCTTTCCTTTTGATTCCTAAAGGTGTTTGGGGGTTAGGTGGGGGAGCCGCCCTTGTAGAAACTGTTTGATTGTTGTCTTTTTTTTTGTACCATCATCTAATTTTTCTTTTATCTTTTCCTAAATTTTTATTGTGGTAAAGTATACATAACTTAAAATGTACAGTCAAACATTTTTTTAGTTATTATAAAATATTAGCTCTATTCTCCATGTTGTACAATACATCCCTGCAGCTTATTTTATACACATGATTATTGGTTTTTTTATTGGGTTTTTAGACAAATCTGAACTGGACCAATGTACACGCCATCAACCTGACACTGGTAAATGTGACGAGTGAGGACAACGGCTTCACCCTGACGTGCATTGCAGAGAACGTGGTGGGCATGAGCAATGCCAGCGTCGCCCTCACTGTCCACTGTGAGCGGATGCCCTGTGGGGGGCGGCTGGGACCCTGGGGATCTCAGCATAGGAGGCTGGGGCCGGGCAGAGCTGCTGCAATGGGCCTGGTCCACCAGGAAGGGCAGAAAGACTCCTGTGGGGCAGGACTGAGCAAATCAAGTCAGTCCTTGGCTAGTAACCCCAGAAGGGGTGTCCCTGTCCCTCAGAAGATGATGCACCTCCAACTCAGCTCTGACTTTACTCCAAGTCTGCCTTTTGCTAAACCCCTAAAAGGTCATGAGAGGGAACCCTCCAGCTGTAGTGGATCCAGGAAGCTTGAGTGAAGACAGACATCTCTTCCCCTCTTTGGGGGTGGTGTTGGGGGGGAACCTCTGATTCCCTCAGGTCTTTTTAAAGCGGGGTGGGGAAGAATTGGATTGCCCACCTCAGCTCCTGGAAGGCTGCTCTGGGACACCAGAGGCTCTGTGTTCTGGGTGTCAGCTGGCCTTTCCCCGGCAGACCCCCCACGCGTGGTGAGCCTGGAGGAGCCTGAGCTGCGCCTGGAACATTGCATCGAGTTTGTGGTGCGCGGCAACCCGCCGCCCACACTGCACTGGCTGCATAACGGGCAGCCGCTGCGTGAGTCCAAGATCATCCACGTGGAGTACTACCAGGAGGGCGAGGTCTCCGAGGGCTGCCTGCTCTTCAACAAGCCCACCCACTACAACAACGGCAACTATACCCTCATCGCCAAGAACCCCCTGGGCACAGCCAACCAGACCATCAATGGCCACTTCCTCAAGGAGCCCTTTCCAGGTGAGGGCAGGGCTGCTCTGGGGTGACTGATCCCCTCCAGGAGCTTAGTGGGACGGGGAGTGGGGGCTTGAGAGGAGAAGCAGCATCAACACAAATACCGTCATCGACAACCAAACACACACTGGAACATACTCAGCCACCACCAGAATTTTGTGTAAACTAGATGAAGTCTCTGATTTCCAATAGCAGTCACAGTGAAACCCAAGACCCCCTCAGAAGTACACAGCTGTACATATAAGGGCATATGGTGTTACGGTAGAGAAAGTAGGGACTTGAGAGGTGGATAAGAATGGCGGAGAATCTGGACCCAATTCTTTTTTTTGTTGGGGGACTCTGGGCATGATCGTTGCCTCAATACCTTCATCTGTGAAATGGGCATGATTGTACTTCTCCCATAAGAATCTCGTGACTTTTAAATACTTTTAAAGTAGACAAAGCATGTAGCACAGGCTTTGGTACCTAACGATGGTTTGATGACCTTCCATTACAAGGGGCTTCAGGGTCTATCTGGTTCAACCACACATGTAACAGGCCAGTGAACAGAATCTTTCCACTTGCTGGGTAGTAATAAGGCCTTGGCTGGGTTTCCAGGTCTGTGGCTCTTTTCCTCTAGCTCCGTGGTGAGCTGATGGGTGGAGGGTACCTGATGCTGTCAGCCTGGATGGTGCTGATTCTAGTGGACGGGGTCATTGAAATGATGAGAGAACTTTGTTTGAATATTTGGGAGGGGAGTCTTGTCTTTCTCTGTCTGGGCTAGAATATTTCAAATACCTTCCTGAAGTTAGAGGAGAAGAAAATACTCCCAAGAGTTTAGTGAAAGTGGTTGCAGCATCTCTTGGGGGTGGTTTTGGTAGCTGATAAGTTTCTGTCAGTGAAGCCATATATCTTTGATGACCTTGGTGATGTCTGCTGGGAACAGACCTCTTGGCCTTTAATTCCTGGAAATCCAGGATTCTAATGAGATAAAGGGGAGTGTAAAGACTGATCTCGATCTCTCTGTCTCTCTCTCACACACACACAGGGCATTGGAGTACTAGCACTGTGCAGCATCTGCTTCTGTGAAGGTGATTTCACAGCATACAGATAATCAGAGGGTAGCAGTTCCAAGAGGCCTTTTTAATCTTAGTGCAAGGAAACTCGAACTTTAGAGGCTTTGAGAGAAACTCTGGAGAGATGAGGCTGCCTGGGAAGCTAAATTCTTGCCACTGAGGGCCAGGGGATGGTGGAGCCATCACTCAGGAGAGGACTGAGATCGTGCCGATGTTTGAGACCCTGGCCATCCCATATGGTCCTACATTTCCAACATCATTCCAAGTATGCCCAGTGAGAGGCCTCAGGACACTTCCCACTGTGGGCCACACGGGAGCTGAAAGAGTCCTGTCTTGCACTGCAGAAGCAGCAGCTTTTAGATGCAGAGATACTTTGCTTTTTGGGGCCAAAGTCAGGCTAGGCTTTGTTGGCATAAAGGGCTGGAGTGGCCCTTTGCCCTGCTTGTGCCCATCTGGTGATTAGAGAATGGAATCTGTTTTTAAAGAGGAGAGTCGACACTCCCTGATGGGCGAGGAGTGAAGCCCTCGCCAAAGTCATGCTTCTGTTTCCAAAGGGAAGCTTCTGGGGCCTGGTGAGAGCAGGGAGCCCTGGAATGCTTGGGAGGGAGGGGGAGCCACCCTGGCTTCTGCATGCAGAGGGTGTCCTGGCCATGGGGCAGCAGGAGCAGTGGCCACGGCTTTTCCTTTGTCCTCCCTCGCCTTGGGAGGGAAGCAGTTCTCTGCATCCTTGCAGCCATACAGACACCTCCTCTGTCCCCAAGAGACACAGCTGCCCCTCCTCTTCATCTCTGGATACGCCTGTCACCTTTTCAGTTCTCCTCAGGCCAGTGGTTCTCGAAGAGTGGTCTCCAGACCAGCAACATCAGCATCACCTGGGCAGGTGTTAGAACTCAAATCCTGGAGCCCCACCCAAACCTACTGAATCAGAAACTGCGGGGTGGGGCCCAGCAGTCTGTATTTTAACAAGCCCCCCACCCCCGAAAATTCAGACACTCCCTCGTTTGCCATCTCCTGCCATGACATTTGTGGACCCAGGAGGCCAGAGGGAGGGTGAAGTTACAGAGGAACTTGAAGGGAAACAGCTCACCTGCAGTGGGTCCCTCAAACCCATCTACACCCTGCCAGGGCCATCCTGTGCGAAGGTTTGCTTGTTTGTAAAGGAGTCAGTGGATGATGGAAAGGCAGTGACAGGGAAAAGATGGGCCAGTCATGTCAAGAGACAAAATATCTAGGCGTCAGGAGAGTAAATTATCCAGGAGAGTGGACAGTAAACCTCGCACCTGCTGAGCCTGGATACAAAGGCTCTCAGTGGACTCCTGCTTTTCTTTTGCTGTGGTGTGGGGACATTGTATTTGTCATCTGTACCCCTCTCGCTCCCAGGCAGCAAAACAGACATTAAGAGCAAGGGTTCTGAAATCAGACAGATGGAAGTATTATCCTGTCTGTGGCGTGAGGTGAAGGATGATCACTGCTCGGTGCCTCTGTTTCTTCATCTGTGAAATGGGAATGATAATCAGAGCTCCTGCCTAAATTGCCCTGAGGATGAATGAAGTGATGTCCACCCAGTGTTTAGCTCTGTGTCCGGATAGAGGGAAGGTTCAATAGCTGTTGGCTACGACTAGGATTCTAGGTGGAGAGTTTAGGAGTTGAGTTTAGGAGTTCTAGATCTGGTCGTTGCTCTCTAATCAAGCTGGTAAGTTCTAACAGACAGCCTTCAGGTAGTTTACTAGGGTAGTGGTTATGGAGTCACAACGCCAAGATTCAGATTCTCATTCAATTGCTTATCAGCTCTGTGATCTCAGGCAAATTACTCAATCCCCTGCTTCTGCCTCAAAGATTGTAGTGAAGATTAATTCGCACATAGTAGATTAATCCACCTAAAATATTTCCCACAGTGCTTGGCACAGAGTAAGCACAGAATTAATGTTTGATTTTATTATTATATATAAAAAAAACACCCAAGGGCAACTGAAAAGGGATTTGTTTTGGGGGAAAAACAGAGATCTGAGGGTGAGGGTCTCCTTTCCTGACTGTTCATGGGCTGGAGACCCACAGGAGAGCTTTGATTGCACTGAATATATTCAGTGGAGCCGTCTGTAGATGCAGAGGCCTCCATCAGAAGGATTTTTTCCGAGCAGGACATTGAAATGAAAATGTTCTGGAAAAGCTTTTTGTAAACTTCACATGCTATACAAATGTTGGTGTTTCCTTCTGCATTTCCAAAGAAGCACTAGAATGTTCAGCCTGGAGTTCAGCTTTAGTGTAGGAACCAGTCTCTGGAAAGGGAGATTTGTTCTAGGAGCATGGAATCCTCTTTGGTGTTCCAGGGATCTGGGCCTAGGAGTGGGGACGGTGAGGAGTCAGGGATCCAAGTGTCAGGGGAGGCCAGGGATCATGTTAGGGTCGAGGTGGCACCTGGAAGGTTGGCGGTCCTTAGATGATGATGTGATAGAAGGAGGAATGTTGACAAGGTGTGTGTGTGTGTGTGTGTGTGTGTGTGTGTGTGTGTATGTGTATGTGTGTTTGCCTGCACATGTGCAACAAATATATGAGAACACTTGACAAAACGTTTAGGAATAAGTGAGCTGCCATAACTCTTGAATTCTCATTTCTTTTTACCTGACTGGGAAGCCTCTTCATCATGATCTTGTGACAGCAGAAATCAGAATTCCATCAGGGCCCTGGGTACAAACCGTAGGGGACACCATTGCCCCAGTGTCCATAGCCGCACTTGTTGAGACTAGAATGTGGTCCCAACCTGCCAGTGCTGGGGGAAAAGAGGCGGCAGCAGCGTGTGGCCTTCTGTGCTGGGTGGGCAGAGCGTGTGGACGCCTGGCGCAGCTCCCCACTCCCTCCTCACACCTGAAGCCAGGGCATCTCTTTTCCTTATCACGTCTATGTGCATCTCTCTCTATCTGGACGCTAGCTGCTGCCTCTCTTCTCCATTCTCTGGATCCCACTGGCTTTTCCCACTGGGTTTTTCTTGAGGCTTTTGGGATCTGGAGGACACATGTGCATTGCTTTCATGCCCAGTTCCTGTTGGGATTCAGATGCTGCCTTGGCACACTGGTCCGGTTGTCCTCCCAGCCTGCTGGTGCGGGCTGAGGTGAGGACCACTCTCGGGTACCATCCTTTTCCAGGGTGAAGTTCTGAGTCCTCCCACAGGTTAGAGAGAACCCAGAAGGTCTGGCTGTTCCAAGGCTTGTGTGCTTCCTGGGTGTATAACTGTTTCCAGGCTCTTGCAAAGGCGATAAGCATTCATAGGCTGATTGAGAGATTACCGGGTTTACAGATTCGGCCAAAACATTTGGCTGACGTGAGCATATTCTCTAATAAATGAGAGCCTTATGAGAAATATGCAAATTGGTGTTAACTAGGAATTGATCTGGCACCTCTCTTTTCTCAGGCTCTGAAGCCAAGGCTAGGGCCCCCTTGCCTCCATCCTCCTCCCAAATCAGCCGTTTGGTCACCTGAAGTTTAGAAGAGGGTGGGGGGCCTGAAGGGCACACTCAGGAATCTGGAGAAAGCTGTATTGCTCTCCCACAAAACAACACAAAGTGGATGATGAGCAAGCAACCTATTAGCAGTGAATTTACTGTGAATAAGGCTTTCTTTAAGGGACTCCTTCACAGAAAGGCATCAATTTTCCCCCACGGGTAGCTAGGGAAGAATATTTGCTGGCGCATACTTGATAGAGCTATGAGTACAATGACTGTGAAAGCCTAGCCAAGGGCCTGGGTAAATGGAAGACCCACGGTGAATGAATGAACGAATAAGTTCTTATTTCTCAGGGTGTGGTAGGCTTGTGCCAGGAGGAAGTGGAGTAAAATGCAATGGTTCTCAAAGGGACCAGCAGAACAAGAAAACTTGTTCGAAATGCAAAATTCTCAAGACCTCCCCCAGACCTCCTGAGTCAGAAACTCTGGGGTGAGGACCAATAATCCATATTTCTTTAAAAAATTTTTAAAAATTTTTAACTTTTCATTTTGAAATAGTTTGAGATTTACCAGAAAAGTTACAAAATAGTACCAAAAAAGCTTCCTTATACTGTTCACCCAGCTTCCCCCAGTGTTACCATCTTACATAACTACAAGGCAGTGATCAAAACCAGGAGAGTAACGTTGATACAACCCTATTACCTAATCTACAGACTTTATCTAAATCTTACCAGTTGTCCCACTGCTGTCCTTTTCTTCTCTGAGATCCAATCCAGGATTATATTGATACATTGTATTTAGCTGCCATGTTACCTTATTCTTTTTAAATCTGGGGCAGTTCTTCAGGCTTTCTTTGTCTTTCACGATCTGTACACTTTTTTTTTTAATTTTTTTTTTTTACATCTTTATTGGAGTATAATTGCTTTACAATGGTGTGTTAGTTTCTGCTTTATAACAAAGTGAATCAGTTATACATATATCCCCATATCTCTTCCCTCTTGCATCTCTCTCCCTCCTACCCTCCCTATCCCACCCCTCTAGGTGGTCACAAAGCACCAAGCTGATCTCCCTGTGCTATGCGGCGGCTTCCCACTAGCTATCTATTTTACGTTTGGTAGGGTATATATGTCCATGCCACTCTCTCACTGTGCACTTTTGAAGGATCCTCACTAGTTATTTTGTAAACTGTCCCACAATTTGGGTTTGCCTGATGTTTTCTCACAATTGAATGCCAGTTAGGCATTTTTGGCAGGAACACCGCAGAAGTGATGCTGTGCCCGTTCAGTACGTTGTGTCAGGGGTACACGACGTCTGTACGTTTTATTACCAGTGATGTTAACTTTATCACTTGGTCAGGATGGTGTCTGCTAGGTTTCTCCACTGCAGAGTGACTATTTTTTTCTCCTCTGTAATTAATAAGCATAATATTTTGAAGCTTTGTAAATATCTTGTTTCTTATCATTCTTTCACACATTAGTTTTAGCATTCATTGATGATTCTTGCCTGAAACAAATATTAGTGTGCCATTTGTCAATGGTGATTTTTCTATTTCTATTCTTTTCCTCTACATTTATTAATTGGATTTTGTTGTAAGGAAAAGCTTTCTTTTCTTATTTGTTGATTAAATTACTTCGTTATATCAGTATGGACTCATGGGTATTTATTTTGTTCTATGAATTATAATCCATGTATTAACTTGCTAGGGCTGCTGTAAGAAAGGGTCAGAGACTGAGTGGCTTCAACAATAGAAATTTATTTTCTCACAGTTCTGGAGGCTGGAAGTCTGAGATCAAGGTGTCAGCAGGGTTGGTTCCATCTACCCTCTGGGTACATCTATATCTTAGTGTCCTCTTATAAGGACACCAGTCATATTTGATTAGTTCCCACCTTAATGACTTTATTTTAACTTAATTACCTCTTAAAGACCCTATCTCTAAATACAGTCATAGTCTAAGGTACTGGGGGTTAGGACTTCAACATATGAATTTTGGGCAGATATAATTCAGCTCATAACAATCTATGACTGTCATTATATTGTCATTATATTTTGTTGCTCAAATCATCCCCAGTTTGGCCATTGGAGACCCCTTCATACTGGGTCCTGTGTCCCTTCTTCATGCCCCCATTAATTCTTGAGCACCTTCTTACTTTCCAGTACTGCAAGATGTTCCAAGCACATCTTGTACTTTCTCTGCCCCAGCCCTGGAATTAATGTGTTTCTCCAAGGATCCCTCATTCTTTTTACTGGAGAATGGTAGTGATCACCTCCTGGATGGTTCTGTGGCATGCTAAAGTTTGAGAATCTCTGATAGAGTAGTTCTGAGCCCAGACTTGGATTTGAATCCAGCTCTATCCCTTCTTAGATGAGTGACATTCAATTAGTTACTTAATTTCTATAAGTCTGTTTCCTTTTCTGTTGAAAGGGGATAATGCTACCCACCTCCTAGGGTGGTTATAAGGATTGATGCATTACATAAAGCATTTTGCACAGCCCCTGGCTCATAATCAATGCCCAACGATGATTGGCTTTCATTATTAGGTGAGCCATTTCTAAAGGCCAAAGACCAAATAACACATTTTCGTCTGGGGAGTGGATAGATTCTAGAGGGATTCCCAAGAACGTCTCAATGACCTACTAGAATAAACGCTACATATCGATCTGAGGAATTGTGTCTTGAGATCATAGCTGGCATTTTCCAGGAAGATCCATGGAAGCCCATCCTGCAGCATTTCTTCTTGGCGCTAATGTACCACCAACGTTCCCAACACTCTGGGCACCTGAGGGTGGGAGGAATGAGGGTGAGATGGTGGGTCTGGATGTAGTTCCTCATCTCATAGTATGGTTTCTAGTCTCCAGGTGGACCAGGCCACCTCCCTTGAAACCAGGAGTTTTAGCTCTTATTCCTTCTCCATTTGGAAGACCACCTTCTAAAGAGTGTGGGGGAGGGGTGACGAGCCAAGGACTTTAGTTTTCAGTTGCCAGGGCAACGGGATCATGGTGAGTGGGAGAGATCATAGCTATGAGAAAGGCAGAGTGCGACTGTTCTGGTTTTTTATTACGTTTGTTAATGATCTCTTTGTCTTTTTTGCAGAGAGCACGGATAACTTTGTCTCTTGTAAGTCTCTTTTACCTTTTGCTTTGAAAGTGATTTATTCTGATACTTTTGGTAACTACTGAGTCCAAATAGCCCTCTTTCGTATTCTACCAGCATCCTCAGACTCATGGCCGCTGAGAGCATCTGAGTGAACTGTGAAAGGAGAGTAGAAATACTTGAGCAGTTCCAAGCCCACTCCTCTTGGACAGTCACTTGCTGCCTCAGTTTCCCCGCAGTTTTCTAGGGTCTGACCATGTTGTGGGTCTTCCCACCCAGACAGACAGAGGTGGTGTCAGGAAGGATGTGGGGTTCACGTGCCCCAGTGGACCCCTGTTGAGCATCTCAGTTGTTCTTGCAGAGAGAATGTGGAGCCTGTAAACATGTTAGTGTTTGTCACCTGCTTTGAGAGCCAGGACCTACCTCGTGTGGAGCTGTGATTGACAAGGTCTCCTGATAGGTTCGCCTGTCCTCAGAATAGATTATTGAGGCTCAGTCTATAAGTGATTTGGGGCCAGGACTAGACGATCCCCAAAGGATTTGGTGTTTCGCTCATGGTCTGTGGGGAAACATATTTATTCCTTTTCCTTTTGTCCCCTGTGGGAGAGGAACAGGGACGGCTGAGGCCATTTCTGCTCCCTGTTCGGCCTGAGACAGTAGACAGTCCTGTTTAGAACGCCCCTTGTTGTTTGGCACAGATGTAAATATAACCTGGATTCCTTTGTTTGTCCTCGGTCTTTGAGGACTTGTCATCTCACAGGATGTCCCTCCAGAGAATTTTGAACTGGGGCTCTCTCTGGACAAGGAGTTGATTCTAGAAGGAGGACTAATGGATGCTCGGCTTCCCATCCAGGCCTTGCTGGGAAGAGCAGATGTTTCCTAGTCAGATAAACTTGCTGCCAACTGAAGCTGCCATTGTGTTCTGAAATCTGCCGTAGGGCAACGGATAGTGGGTTGTTTATGGGGCCACAGGCCTCCTGGATCTCACTGAGGAGTGAAGAGGGAACGAGGAAGGGCATGGAGAGTCTGGGACAGGATAAGGGGTGCAGAGAGGAGCTGAATGTCAGCAACAGCTACCATCACCCACGAAACTGGCCGAATCCAGACCCTGGCTGTGATCCCAAACCATTTTTTTCCCTCTTATTTATTCAATAGCTCATGGCCCACATTGTCCAGGTTACATTATTTACTCTGTGATGGGGATTGGGGGACGGGAGCAAAGGTTCTTTATACCTATGGAGTCTGTCTTTGAGTCATCAGTACCCACCAGGCAGCCACACGGGGATCCGATCTCTGGGGACCCCTGCAAAGCCTGGGGAGGCCAGGCAGTCAGAGTCTAGCTTCAAGGGGATGTTCTCCAGCAAGAACTTTCAAGAGGACTTGGGAGTTAGGCAGGGACCGTGGCTGAGGCTCTCGTGGCCAGGAAGCTAACTACTCTTCTCTATTTATGTTTGGTTTTCAGTCTACGAAGTGAGCCCCACCCCTCCTATCACTGTGACCCATAAACCAGAGGAAGACACTTTTGGGGTGAGTCACTCCTTGGTCAAGAGGAAGGTGTTTACTGATGCAGTAGTTTTTCAGGCTTCTGTTTTAGTAGCTAACTTTTCCCAATACTGCCTTATTTGGAACTCTAGCATACGTGGCATAGAGAAGCCGTGATGAATGACCTCCTTTCAGGTGGTTAAAACCTTCCTTGTTTGATGAGAATAATTCATTGTTTGAGGAAGTCTTTGAGGATCTGCTTTAAGCCCTAGGGCTCGGGAGGAGAACAGTTTGAAACTTCCCACTCCATTAGGAGCCAGCTGGGCCTGATTCGAAGGGGCTGCTAACTGTACAGACTTCTACAAAAGTCAGAGTTGCCCAGGGCATCTTCTTGAGTGGGAGGTGACCCCACCTCCCGCTCTCAGAGCCTGAGGTTTCTCTGGGGAGAAAAGGAAAGGAGTCTTTTTAGAATCTCCTGGTTAAGAATATTATGCAAAGAATGTCAATGTGAAGATGCAAGATTTGCTTGCTAATTAAAACCACAATGGAACAACAGGCAGAAGCATCTCTGGGCTTCCTCCTGCATCTCTTAGGATGGTCCCCAGATGAGAGGGCTCAGAACACTGAATCATGGAACTTTCTCTAATCAGTCTGGGTAATTTATTTTTTGATGTTCTTAGAGTCTCATAAATTACATCTTCTCAAGACTTTACTCAGTCTGAGAAGTTCTGAAGTTCACTGAAGTTCTGGGAGGGCTACAGTTGCTACTGTAATAGGATGTTCTCATCTGAGCATGCGTGTTACTTCATACTCCGGTTTTCTGTAACTGCTCGACTGTCTGTTTTTGGCTCCCAATAGGTATCCATAGCCGTTGGACTTGCTGCTTTTGCCTGTGTCCTGTTGGTGGTTCTCTTTATCATGATCAACAAGTATGGTCGACGGTCCAAATTTGGAATGAAGGGTAAGGTGGAATTTTCATTTGCGAGGGTCTCATGGGGGAAACATGGCTCCTTTTGATCAAAAGATGCTGTTTTAATTTCTTTGCTCTCTGAGAGGGCTTCAGGGTGGTGGGCTTAAGTGGCCCTGGTAGAGACTCCCATCTACACGTTTATTATTGGTAGTGATGGATTGAAGGCAGTGTTGGTGTGAGGACCAAACTGTGGACCACCTGGTTTTTCTGTAATGACTAAAAACATTGCTTCACTGGGCTGGTACAATGAGGATGATTTGGGAAAGAAGTTGGATTTGAGGGCAAATGAAGAGGACTTACCTTTCTTTTTATTTTTGGTGGGTAAAAGGACTCTTTGTTTGAGTAACTTGGTTTTTCTCTTGTCTGCACCCATCCTTGGAGTTGTGATGAGAAGGTATTAGCAGAACTAAATGTAGGATGGTAGACTGTGGCATTGAGAGGTTGCCCGTGCGTGGTATCTCAGCACGTAGCTCTACACAGAGTTCCAGAATGGATGCCAAGAGCTAAATCTGCTGGCCAGTTTCCACAACACAGAGCACTCAACCCCGTTACAGCTGGGGTGGAATGTGAGACGTGGCTCTCCACCAAGGCTGGGGAAAAGGGGGCTGGCACAAAAGGGGTTAACGTGGTGAACTAGCATCCATCTGCCTGGTCCCAGGATGGATCTGACCAAATGGCGCAAGGGAGGCTGGATACCAGTGCTTAAACAGAAACTTGAATTTCAAGATTATACTCCCAGCTGGGGTTTCCATTTATGGCTGATGTTAATAGGAGAAGGGTGGGGAGGGAGTATGAAGTATTTGACAAGCCGTCAGGTTCCTGAGCAAGGATTCAGGTTGGAGTCTTCTGGTGAGATTATGGGGTCCAGAAAGATGAATTTCGATGACTTCTGCACACGAACTGGTATCTGTGGTTGGGGTCTTGACCTGGGGGCTCAGGAATTGAAGGGGAAAGCATGAATGAGATTCACAGGGATAGTGGTCCCCTGAACTTATATGTAAGTGTTTAATTGTTTGTACATGGTGGCAGGGGGCGGGGTTGGGAAGGAACTAATCCATAGCTTCTGTTATATTGTCAAAAGAGTCTGTGACCACCCTACAAGTTTAGAACACTGATATATAGCAAGGGATAGCCATAGAGAACTAGAAAGGCAGAAATCATGAGGGAGAACTGCCTGGCTTCCCAGAAGCCTCCTGCCTCTTTCTGCTCTTGGTTAAGCTGAACAAGTCCCAGAAGAGCAAACCAGGTTTTCTTGAAGCAAATGAAATATTTTGACCAAGAGAAATAACACGTAAAGGCAAATTATAAAACTTCTCTATATATTAGAAGTTTGGCCTGAAGCCAGATGACTTAAACAAGAGGAGACCATGGTCAGCCACCTTGGCTGGAGAGGTTTTATCTACCAGTACCCCACGGGCCAAACAGGGCTTCACAGGTTTGGAAGATCAGTGACCCCCATGCAGGCTCTGAGCCTTCAGTCTTAGCATCATCCCTGGGCTCCTGGCTTTGAGGACCTGGCACTAGTACTTGTGCAAAATTTTCCTACCATGGGAGGAACTTTCCTAGCTCTTCCTCCCTCCACCTAAGGAAACAGCAGGGCCTTGACCAAAGGGAAAAACGGGGCATTATTGCTCTCCCCTGGAGAGGCACGCCACCAGCTGAGACCCTGCAACAAGACTGGCACCACCAAACAAGCAGATTTTTCCTCTTAATTGTCATCTGTTTTCTGGAAGAGCGTGTCCCCATGTCGGATGAATTAGGCAGCACCCAGCGGGGTGCTTTCCCCTCAGCTGTCCTTGGAGCCTCTCCCAACACCCACTCCCCTCTCCCGGGCTGAGCTGCCTTCATTGGCCCTGGTTGCGCCGCAAGAACACATCCATAAGTTTGGAAGTAAAATATTCCTTAATTTAAAGTCAGGTGACCTGAAGAAGTTTGGCTAGAGTGAGAGGCAAGATAAGATGTTGTATCCAAGGCTGACCCTGTTTAGAATTAAGCCTGCATCTTTCTGATCTTTGTTATGCCTGACTGTATTTAGTTCTCATCTTAGGATGAAACAGCAAATGCCCTAGGCTGCATACACCCTTGATCTTTTATTAGCAGCGGGTCTCCCAGTCCAGAAAAAAGAGCAAAGTTGCGTGTACCAGAAGTCCCCCAAATCTGACTCAGGCAAACCTCCGTCTCTTCAGAGCCACCCGTTCCTCAGCTTTGAATTTTCAAATCTGGGTTAAAAATCTGTGATGCCACTTAATTGCTCTATGTTTCCAGCAAAGTTACTTAACTTCTCACAGCCTCTATTCCCACAACTTCAAAATGATGGAATGATACCACCTCCCTCATTGCATTGCTCTGAGTGTTGAGATCTGTGTGTAATTGACGTTTAAAAGGGTCCCTGTGGTTGTAGTTTTCTTCTTTCTTTGTGTATAAGCCTGTCCAAGCTTCTTTCATTGTCCTTCCAGGAAGGGCTGCCCTCCCAAGACTTAATCATGCCCTCTTTTGTCCCACACAATATTTAGTAAAAATGCTTTTCTTCCACCCTAATCCTGGGGCACTGTCATCATCTTGCTCACACATCATCTGTCCTGTTAGACCAGGAGTGACTTGTTGCAGAAACCCGCAGTCACTCAGCTGAGTATGCCTGAAACTTTGCACAGTCTTTGACAAATTGTTTCTGAACTTAGAAATGAATGACTTTAGTTTTACTCAGAAAACAAGCACAGCTTGTTAATCAGTAATGGGCTAGTTAGGGCTCATTTGGAAATCTGAGATGTCTGGGCAGTGGAGGTGGAGCGGAGATGATCTGGGAGACTCATAAATAATTCCCACCCTCCACATCTGAGGGCCTGGAACACAGTGTATGGATGAGGAGGACTTATTAAAATGAACTTCCTTCTGAGAAATAAAAAAATATATAGAAAAATACGGACATTAGTATGACAGACACTCATATTCCTGTCACTTAGAATAAGCAGCTGTTACTGTTTTGTCTTCTGTTGCATCTAATGTTTTATTCCTATTACTGATAAAACTAAGATGGCTTTAACTGTCACCCCGGTCCCATTTCCGCTTCCATTTCCATAGGCAGTCATTAGCTTGAGTTCACTGTACATCCATCAGTCCACTTGTTTTTGTCTCTCTCCCTGTATCTCTGTCTCTCCTTCTCTGCTGTCTCTGCACACCCACCCTTCGCGCCATGGCTCTCTCCCAGCTGACCCCATACCCTGCAGACTGCCAACTTAGCAACTGCCTCTACTCTATGGCAATCTTAGTGGCCAAGTCTGGTAACCAGCTCAATTTTATAGTTCTACTTACATATATGTATATATATATGTTTTGTTTTGTTTGTTTTTTCCAAATCACAATTGCATTTATTCATAGACATCTAGAAAACAATCAAAACAATCAAAAGTATATTTGTCTCTTATAGACCTTATTAATAAAAATTTTATGTGGATGAGAGAGCTTGTGTCCCGAGAGTTTTAAACAGCATGATTAAAGACTGTAACACTCCCAAGAGTGGTCACAGATAGGTACAGGATGTGAAGAAAGATATACATATATACATACACATATATATGTCTACATATGTGAATACATTTACAAGATGCATTACTTTGTGTATGTTTTAATTTGTAAATGTGTTTATACTCTAAACACCCTTCTGCATCTTCTTTATTTGCTTGTCATGTGTTAGAGATCGCTCCATGTTGGTACATATAGGAATTCCACTGGGGACCTATTTTATGGAGGTTGAATGTATTAACCAGAGTTTATAGAAATGAACTGAAAATGCGTTGTCTCAGGCACTTTTTTACTGTTTTCAACTGCCATCTAGTTGATCGAAATTCCGGCCTGGGGAGAGGTCAGGATTCTGCCCTGTGGAGGGTTAGGATTCGAGCTCATCTTCTCTTATAATCACAAAGGTTCTAAAATGGGGCTGAGTGTCCAGTGGGCTTTCTTTGAGCTGTGGATGAAGCCCCATGCTTTAGAGTGGCAGGATGATCCTGAAGTATTTGGTATGGTGTGGGCACTGACCAGTCAGAGCACATACTGCCCTCCTGCTGGAGCCGGCACCCGGGGGCTCCCTGCTGTGCTGGGTGTTAACTCATAATCATGCTGGATCACAGGGTGGTTGAGTGGTGGGTGGGCGGGAGGTTCAGGGCAGGGGTCGTTTACTGGGAGGGACAGACATATATCAAAATATGTCAGTATCTTAACTAATTATATTGTGCCGGTGCATCCTGGGCCTGGAAGTGACATGGTTTAGAATTTATACCATGCTCATCCTCATATAATATTTTAAAATTAGACATTGAAAGATCATGACAATGATCTAGCCGGGCCCTGCAGTGTCATTATTTAGAGATGAGAAACTGAGGCATAGGAAGCCCAAGAAAGGAGGTGACCTGCTCTGGTTTTCAGTCTGGTTAAGCTGAGTGGGTTCTAGAACGGACGTTCTACCTTGCATTCTCAGTCACTTCTCATGGCAACTATCGATAGACTGACCTAACTCCTTGGTCTTGGCTGCCCCGCCATGAACATCCACAGTGCATCTGCCATCTTTATTTCACATGGTTGTTAGAACAATAACCAGGTAGAAGATGCTAGTGTGTCTTTAAATACTTAAACATGCCCTATCGTTTTCATATAAGGTGACTATCATTATTATTTAATGGAGAAAGAAGCAAACATGTGGGGGTTTTGCAGGCTGTAAAAAGGGCATACATTATTTGGTCTCTCTTGTCTGACTACCTCTTAAGCATCTTTATATATGTCTAGATCAGAGATACTGTGGGAGTGAACTTCATACTTCTTGGCTCCCTCTTACTGTCACAGAGGAAACAGAATAATGGTTTATTAGAGTTGAAACAGACCTTAGACTTATTAGGCTAATGTCCCCATTGTACAGGTAAGGAAGCAGACGCAGAGAAATGAAATGGCATGCCAAAATGCACGGCTAGCTAGAGCAATGCTGGCCTGCTTTCCCACCTGCG